TAAAAGAAATTATTTTAGGAGCCTAAAATAAACTTGTGAGTTTACAGTTTTCCTGAGTCCAGTAACATGCTGGACAAAAGCCAGATGGACAAATGTTCTACATTTTCTGAAGAAATCTGCCTGTATTTCAGTGAAGGCCCATCATTTTATTTTCCCAATAATAACCTTGAAAATTAAATCCAGACTCTGATGGATTGGAACTATGGATGGTTGGTTTTCTCTGTGCTGTACAGCTATTTTACTGGGCTTGCATTTAGAGCTACAAAATTGTTCGAATATAGATCTTCTCACTGGTGCACACATACCCTCTTGATGCAAATAACACTTAAACACACATATTTTTTGATTCCATCAGCAAGTGATAGTAATAGAAATCTGAAGGGAAATTATTTTCAATAATTAGGGTCTAGCTTGAGATAAATTCCATGGATTAAAACCAAACACTCACTTCAAATCAGCTTTTGTAATCAACCCTGTTTTAGAAGGGTAACATTAAATCCAGTTCTATTTTTCTAGCCAACTGGCAAAATACTTCCTTTTACAGTTCAAATCTGACCGTACAGTAAACCTTCATAGTAACCCTAAATATACTCCAAATGCATTCCTTGGGAATACCACAGTAGTCTGAATGCAAAATACTATTCTGTCTTATAAAACTTGGCTTTCTAAGTAAAGAACACCACTATGTTTTAAAATAATACTGGCTATTAAAGCAAGGTTACATGCCTACTGCTGAATCCAGATGTAATTGTTAAAGCAGAATTAATAAGCAAATTTAATGAAAATCCTATTATACTACAGCTTAGCAAATGAAAACTGAAGCTGCTCTAAGCAAAAATGACGCATACTCAGAGTTTAGAATCAACGCTACATTTGATCATCTTCATGGATGCCTCAGAAGAAGAGTTAACTCCAAAATGACACAACCTCTTCATGTTCCAAGAGCCACCAGCTGGAGCCACATCCGCCCTTGAGAGGCAGTGAAGCGCCCTTGGCAGAGCTGCACCTGCACTGGTGAGACAGCAGCAGGGCCTCTTGCTTCAGGACATCACCCCTGCACTAGTCCAGAGCTCTGAAGTGCACATTGACAGAATATTAAAAATTGAGAGAATATTGAAAAATAATAAATAAACCAGAAAAATCAAGAGGCCAGCTCTTGGAGAAAGAGGAAAATTATTCCAAAACCTGAGATGAAATAAGAGCGTGGTTGATTTGCCCCAAGTTACACTTATTAGGAATCTGCCAAATGCACGCAAAGTCAAACCGAGATTCAAGGGGATAATCTTTACTTCCAATATGAAACCCTGTCAAAACACATGAAACATCTATTTGCCCCCCATTTAGACTAATCTTGTCCAAAAGCTGCAAGACTTGCTGTGCATTAAGAATTTTTGACACTGTAACAAATACTCACAACCACTAGGTGAGAGCTGGAGGGTAAATAGTTCTTTGTAAAACTGTACAACTATCTTTCCAAAGTATGCATGCAGACTGGCTTAATCTTCACCGTGTCGTTGAGATATATGAATGTAATATAGATGGTGCATGCAATGAAAATATTTTTTTTGCATTCAGCTAAAGAATATATACAATTCTCCCTAGATATGAATGCATAGTTCTTACATCTGAAACCAACTTGAAGCTAGGTTTCAAAGTGTGAGCAAAATTTCCTGCTTATAATATTTAAACCCACGTATTCCAATAGTTGAATATTTCATTTTTGGTGTATTGTGTTCTGATGAGTATGAAACTTGTACTCTTCATGTTTTCCAATAATTTGAGTTCTCTCTGCCAGTAAGAGATCCTCTGAATAATGTATGGAGTACAAAAGTAACGAACTGGTTTAAATAAAACACACAAATGGAAGGAGGAAATAAAGAGGGCTACTTCCAAACTGGTAGAGACCAGACTAACTTTGCTGAGCTGCAGCAGAGACGATCTGCTTAAATAATGTGTTTCATATTCATTCATGATTTAGAGCAGAAATATCAATGTTTCAGGTCTGTTAAAAGAAAACAAAGATGCATAATCATCAAAAAAAATGACATTAAAAAATCTAATTTCAAACCTAAGTATTTATGTATGTGCTTTTTATTTATTTTTTTCTAACACTGCAGTGATTTACCCACTAATATGCCATCTATAACCATTTGAAATACAATTTACTGTCCCTAACTCAAGCAATGGGCTAGGCATCTTTACAAGCAACCTCTGCAATAAGCGGAAATAAAGGTAACTGGTCATGTCTTAGATCTTTATGCTTAAACTCACATGAATATTGTGAGTAGCTCTAGGGCTTTTGTACTGAGTATTTGGAGAAATGTGTGCACTAAGTAAATTCTATGCAAGTAGCCTCTGTTTTCACAGCAGTTCAGGAAAGAGTTATTATTTCACATGTAGATTGCGATTAAATCATTTAATTCAGAGCTGATGGGGGAGCGAGGTTAATTAGGTTAGAAAATCTCACACATCTGCACTTTTGGAGCCTCTGCCAGGCAAGCAAATGCCATCACATGGAACTTGGTGTCCTCCAGCTATCAGACAATTGATTTTTGCAGGATTCTGCTCATATTTAGCTTAAGGGACATGTGATATGTTCATGTTCATTTAGTTGTCAGTCAGTTTTGCCTACATTTCACTAGGAGAACATTTGTTGATAGAAAATATATATTCTTTAGTATTATAACGTTAAAGAAGAATAAGAAAGTCAGATTACTGTCACAAGATTGCAAAATATGAAACAAATGAATAAACATATAAATTTACTATCTTATTTCCCCCCCCCATACTGTACAGATTCCTTATTTCTGAGTCATTAAACTCTTTAGAAATGAAATTGGGTTCTGTTAAAAAAAAAGAAAGAAAAAAAAAGAATCAGGTTATAAATCACTATTTTTGCAAGTGACAGCAAATATAAGGGGACAGGTTTTCCTCGGTTAAAATAGTGCAAACTAAACATAATTGAAAGTGGTTAGAATGACAGATAAGAATCAGCTGTGGTTGGTCTAAATGAAGAAAAGTTTTAAGCAAACCTTTTCTGAATTTGTGATATTGAAGTTTCGCAGAACTGGTTAGTTTTATATATTGCATTTAAAAAATATGCAAATCAGAAATAATTCGCTAATGTTCTAACTGAAACATGCAAGTTTTTTTTACTCTTAAACATAAGAATAGCATAAGAATAACATATAAAATCATTTGGTAGAGCTGACTGTGTAGGCAGAATCTAAGGTAACTCTAAGGTAACTGACCTCGTCAAATATTGCTGATGTCTCTCTCTCTCTCTCTGTCTACAGATACATATATATATATATATATGTATGTATGTATGTATGTATATAAGTCCCCTACTCCTCTAGGAGAAATAAAGGTTTTGGAAAAAACAGTATGTCATTTCCTCTTCAAAGGATATATAATCATCATCTGCAAAATTTGACATATATTGTAATGAACTACGCTTGCATAGATCTAATTCCTCCCAGTTTCAAAGCACCTTTTGAAACTCTTTCTCCTTATGGAATTTGATATTGATTTTCACGCTAAACACAACTAATACGTTGCTTAATATAGAATTCACACCTAATGGGACATCTGTCTTTCCTGCATAAAATAAATGAAGCCATTTTGGCAGCCCAGAAGCTTTTCCTGTTAGATAAGGTGGCAAGGTCATCTGCAACTTGGAGAACCAAAGACTTGTATAAATAAATTTAGCAATCATTCGATAAATTATACATGAGAACCGTGCAACACACAGTATGTTTACAAATGGCAAAGTGCCGAAGAGATGGCTGTGAGAAACTGGAGAGAAGCAGAGTATGTGTTTTAAAGGCACAATGAACAGCAAGACCTTCTCCAGCGTGTTTCTATTTTAAACTCACTAAGCATTGTTGCTCAGGGCATCTAGTTCCTGAAGCAATTCACTCTTGAATGAAGAGAAGGGATTCTGAAACTTAAAGGCCACGGAGAAAAACCTATAGAACTGGATCCTGAAATGTGAATATCAAAGTAGGAATGTTACTATCTCTGCTAGCTTTACCACACTATATTCTACTGTCTTGCAAATGGAAACAAATTCCCCTCTAAAAGTCTGATGTATGTGAAGATAAACAGAATTAACTCCTTGCCACTCTTGGAGATTAAGCAGCATCCAGCATGTGTTCTGTGCACTGGTAAGGACCCCGAAGTGATATAAATGTAGGCAGCACAGCTAATTATACTCTGTTAAAAAAAAAATGTAAATGTTACCTCAGCTGGTAAGGGCATCCCTTTTTTGTTCCTTTCCTGGTGTGTGTGTGCTCATACCCCTGTGTGCGTGTGTATGTATAATATATAGTAGGAAGAGAATATTTGTTCCACTTGAGGTGGTTTGTGAAATCAAGTAGATCAGATGCTAACTTGATTTGGCACCAATGTATGGATGCATAGAGGCACATCCACAGGATGTATGCATTACGAGATGGTAAGAGACATTTACAACCTACAATATAAGAGCAGGGCTGCCTCAAGTGACATCACCGGATCAAATGCAGCCTCAACCAACTGAGATATATTATCCTGCACACCACTGCTTCCCTATCCCCTCTCCTACTATTTGAAAAGCAGTTGTGATCACAAATATTATTGTATATTTTCAAAAATTCAAGGCATGCCATAGCTAAAAGCTAACAAGAGTAACTGTGGGACTTACTGACTGAACGAGACATTCATAATTTCTCTTTACAACCACAAAATTCATCTCCATAGAAACCAGAAAGCAAGAAACTACAGTAATAACACTAAAGTAAATGTCACATCAGGTTAGTCAGCATAAGGCAGGAGAGGGGAGTCTGCTCCAGTTAGAAACTAGACAAGATGTTACCCCTTCTCCTCTTCTGCAAAGGGCAGCTAGACTGAAGACAGACTTACTGATGTGTTTTCAATGCAAGATGATGATGTAGTTTCCTGTTATTTTCATTACAATTTACTCCTAAGTTGGTCAGATCAACAGCACGTTTACTTACAGGCATTTGTTACAGCGAAGCTATTAGCTGTTTCAATGTTGTCTACGTGAGGAACCAAATTAAAAGGTGCTTCAGATGCATTGGGGCTGGTGTTATGAAGAAAAATTGCTAATCGAAAAGCAGTATATTCCTGATCCGTGTTCCTGATGAAAAGACCACCTACAGAGGGGAAAAAAAAAAAAAGAGCAAAAAGCAAAGGAAGCAGCATGAATTATTTGCAAGCTACTACTTATCCTATAACACCAAGCAATTGTCTCTCCCAGAGCTGCACAGTAAGGCTGTTCCTGACTTTAATGGATCAGGAACTAATCATATTCATAATCACAACTGCTGCCTTTAAATCACTGTCCTCAATCGATTTCAACCTCGCAGACGCATTCCCACTTCTTTTCTGTCCTCTCAGTTTCTAGCCTTTCATACATAAATACCCAGATTTGTCATGATTACAGTGACCTTTGAAAGTGTTTAGCCTCCATCTCCCTGCTACTGAACACATTGGCAAATCAGCTACTCAACAGCCTCTTACACTAAGTGCTGTGCTGATTAAGGAGAGCGATGCTTTCTGGATTAAAAAAAAAAAAAGAAAAAAAAAGAAAAGAAAAAAAGAAAAAAAAACCCCAAAACAAATAAAACTCAATGTAGGATGATCTGCACTAAACTGGAATATAATGAACTTTGCTCTTCTGCAGCCATGTGCATGCAGGGAGCAGCTCCGTGTTATTAGAAGGATCGTTACAAGTCCCTGAGAAATGATGCAGTGATGGAGCAGAGCTGCAAGGAATACAGATAACTGCGTCCCATACGGAACAGGGAGAGCCAAGAAGCAGGAGGCGATGGGCAAAGGGTGAAGAGGGGGCACGGGACTGTACAGAGAGCTACAAAATCCCAAACTTTCCAGCTGTGAGAGGGAAAAGATGGGCAATGCTGGGCTTTACTCCCCACCCCTGCCAGCTACTGCAATGTGCAGGGCAGATAACTCGCCATCCCTCCGGGAGTCAGGCAGGAGAAGAGAATGCTGGAGGAAGCTGAAATTGCCTGGGAGCATCTTCCCCCATCCCTGCAAAACCGCGCAAGCCCCTTCCCCTTCTTCAAACACCGGAGTCGGAAAAAGCTTTGCAAAGGATAAGCATCCTGCCCCCCACCGAACACACACACAGACCAGTGTCTGCGCGGGCTTTCCATGGAGTCAGGATGCTGCTGGAGGAGGAATCCAAGCTCCCCTCGCAGCCAGCTCTCAAACTCACTTTGCAAAGGATCGCAAGCCCTGGCAGATGCACGCAGCCCAATGCAGCGCTTACCTATTTGCACACTGCTAGGAAAAGCTCCCATTGCTAGTCCCCAAAAGCCAGAAAACAACAAGACCAGCTGTCTGCCAGTTATCCTCATCTTCTCTCTTGCCTCTCAGTCTCGCCTTCTCCCGCTCGCTCACTGGATGCTGCTCAGAGAGGCATCGAGGACGAGGCGGCTACGAACAAAATCAAGAATTGGGGAGGGGAAAAAAAAAAAAAGGAGGGGGAGAAAAACAGAGGTTTCCTCCTT